GCTCATTCCTTGAGGTGAGAGGAGAATACTCTGGTCGTTTTTCCACCTAAGGCCTGGATAACCTTTCTTGACATCCAGAGGCACGTACGGCAGTGCCATAAAAAGAATATCTCCCCTCGTGCTGAATGAGCCTCATAGTTTAAGATGGAGCCCTCTAAGACCGGTGAGAGGTAACCCACATTGTCTTTGTGCTGCTTCTAAAACATTTAACTGCTGTCACTATTTATTGCTGCAGTGCCCTTGAGGCCTCCCAGGTACCTGAGTTTCTCCGAGATCGGCCACGCGTCCGTCAGGGTCAGCTGGGAGGCTGCGTCTCCGGCTGCGACGGCTCATCGCGTGTCCTACGCCTCGAGCAGAGGGAGCAGCACTGAGGTGAGTCCTCAGCGAGGGAAAGGAATTGGGAGAACAGACCCTGCTCTGTCCTCCCTCAGCCACGGGGATCCCTGAGGATTTCCCCACCAGCAGCATTTTGACAGCAGTGACTTCAACGCAGGCACCTTTCATGCTCTTGTCCCCGCTCCAGGCCTCTCCCAGCACTCACGTTACTCTTCCCTTGTAGGTTGAGGTTCCTGGCACTGCATCTTCCACTGTCCTAAAACCTCTCTCCTCGCTCACCCAATACTTCATCAGCGTCAGGTCTACGTATGATGAAGGCGACTCCTTTCCCATTACTGGCAATGTTACCACATGTAAGTAGGCAGTGGAAATGCTGGGAGATTCACACCTTTGGACCCAATTCCAGGTTACAAAATCGGCTGTTTTTTTAACTGGATGTTTACAGACTGGTTCTGACACTGTTTACAGGGTTGTTCTTTATGTGTGAAATGTGCCCAAATGCATTATGTGTAAAACAAGATGGAAAGATTAGGGGAAAGAGGCAAACAAAGAGAAAGCACAGTTTATTGCTAACCTCGGTGTCCTTGAGCGCCTTCCTAGCTTTCTCACTGTTAAAGTGCCAAAGTGATACAGGTGCTTTCCACAAATGAAATAACCCTCCTTAATTAGGATTTGTTTTAAATATAATTTATCCCTCTCTGTCCTGATGGCTGTTGTCGTTTGGGTCTGGAGAAGTGAAAGACGGGCTGGTCTCAGACATCTGCCTGGTTGATGTTTTGTTCCCTGACCATCTGCTCCCTACCGGGGCTCCGACAAGGTGCTGTCAGCGCCTGCACTTCCTTCCAGCGCGTTTTCCTTCTGCTTCCCTCAGTAAAGGTCCCCCCGCCACGTGCACTGAAGGTGACCGAGCTCTCGGGAAACAGTCTCCAGCTGCAGTGGGAAGCTGTCGCTGCTTCGGATGTGGTTGTCTACCAGATCAGATGGAGTCCCCTTGGTGGAGAGAAGTCTCAGGAGGTACTGGACTACATGTGGCTGAGGTGCTGGCTTGGCCTTGTGCCTGCTTGATGGCTCTGAACTCGCTTGTGAGAGAGGAATGAAGAGATTTATTCAGGTTAACAGGCTCTGGAAATTCCGTGGTTCACCACCTGACTGGAGGAGCCTTTGGAATAAGAGAGGATCTGTCCTGGACCTGGATCTGTTCAGCCAATTAGCCAATGAATTGAGTGCCGGAAGAGAGAGGCTGGGAAGGGCTACAAGAGGGCAGGCTCCGAGTCCTAAAGAATTTGGGAAGATTGGAGAAGTGTTCTCAGAAAAATTAAAGGATGAAATTCAAGAGGGGCAAGTGCAAAGTACTAGGCTTAGGCAGGAATAATTAATTACAGGTATACAGGATGTAGAACAAATAGCTGAGTAGCAATTCAGCAGAAAAAAGATCTGGGGTTACAGAGAATCACCCCTCCACAATGTCAAGTTACTGTGGAAGAGACAAGCATCATACTCAGATATTTATAGCTGGAGGTATCACCTCTAAGATAGGAGAAGTAACTTCTGTTCTGCTTAGTGCTGTAAGCACTAACTACTTTTGGGATACTGCTCTTTGAGAGAGACATAGTTCTTTGCAGCTGGGCTGGAATAAGGGCGTATTGGGATTTCTGTTTTCAGTACCTCTAAAAGGTACTTTCAGAGTGTGGCTGAACAATGATATGAACACTTGTGCCTTGCAAGACTGTCTCAGAATACCCTGTACATATTCTAGCTTGCCTTACAGAGTTGGGATAGGAAATTATACTGAAAATTTAGCAAAGGATTTTCATGCTCAGGATAGATAAAGTACCTGGTATCAGAACACTATGTTGTCTAGTAGTAGCTGCTAAATGTAATTGAGCAGAAATGCATGGACATCTATTCAGCATTTATTAGGGCTGAAGTTTTGCCACTGCTTAAATTTGTGCAACCTACAAGGGTAGACTTTGTCCCCAAAGCGCGGTGATAACTCATGTATACCAACAGGCAGTTTGAGAGCCAGGCACTTCACTTGGATGGTGGGAGCTGGTTTGGGGGAACCTGCGAATTCTCCTGCCTCATTTCTTCCCCGCTGCAGCTCTCTGTTGCTGGAAACGTGGCCACTGCCGTTCTGCCAAGCCTGCAGAAGAACACGGACTACAGGATATCCATGTGGGCCTATTACAAGGATGGTGCTCGAAGTGACACAGTTTCAGTTCAGCACAGGACCAGTAAGTGCTCAGTGTCCATGGCTTAGGGAAAATACAGAGGGCATGGGATGCCTCAGAACAGATCACAGAGCAGCAGCTAGGAGCTTGGTCATCTCCAGCTTTGAAAACCCCAAACTAGATGTACAAAAGTGGCTGGCAGTATTTAGACTCCAATTTTGGTATTCTGAGTCCCTTCTGCAAAATATAGGCTGGGCACACTTAGGTAGGCTGGTGTATCTAACAGATATCTGATGCCCTTGTAATGTACTTTGTATAAATGCATTGCTTTTTCCCTCTTCCCCCCCACATTTCATTATAGTGTATTGATGCAAATGTACTGGTTTTCTGTAGGGTGTTCAGCTGAGTGTCACAGTGCTGCCTAATAAATGTTTCCTGTTAGTTAAATATTGTCAATTAAGGAGGGTGAGGAATTCTTTGGCTACGTAATTGCTGAATCACGCTTCAGCTGAGGGCACTTAGGAAAATGAGAGCGAATCCTGCAGTCACACTCTGTGTGGAAGCATTGTCTAAATCTCGCTTTGTGCAGACAGGATAGGAGGTTAAAAAGTGGCATTCCCCGAGGTCCTCTTAATTAATATTGCCTGTGTAATGGCTTTGTTGGCAGCAAATGGAATACGATTCATTCAACAGTGGCACTCCTCTCCTGCATCTCTCTGCTCTCAACTTCCTTTGCAGAAGAGACTCATTTAGGTTGATGTTGAGCTGATGAAGCTTAGAGTAAACGGCAATTTTGGAATAAGAAGTTGAGGTTTTGTTATTGAATCATAGTGATATCTGTTTATATAACCAAGTATCTTGCCTAGGTACTGCCAGTTGGTTTGCACGAGCAGGCAGGCCTGTGCCACGTATATCTCATATAGGCTGAGGCCTCTTTGGGTTACAACCTGATGAACAGCTGTAATCAGGCCGTGTTGAACAAAAGCAGACTATGGTGCGGAGCAATCTTCCTGTTGCTGCTTTGCTATTTACTTGGCAGCATCCCCACATGCAGAAATAGGTAAAGGTGTGAAGTTTCTCTTAAAGTGCTTTAGTAGAATT